CTAGACATTCCTTTAATTGCTCATCCAGCCAAAACAGACATTTCTGTCCAGACCAGGGCTTTCCACTCGGATTTTTTAAGGTTTTTGACAATGTGCTCTGAAGTGAAGAGCAAGCAACATGTGTGTGCAGGTCTTATGAAATCAGTGTCTAGTTTTTCTACTACATAAATTTATTTTAGGTTGGTTTTATTTTAAAAGAAAGCAAAATACTTCCATTTACCACTGGGAAAAATCATATATATTAAATATAGCAAATATACCTTTATTTCTTTGAGTAGTTATTTGCCTCATGGTTAAAGATCAGGATAACAAGTTACTTGTGTTTATCATTTCTGAAAGACTGGGAGCATCACTGACAATGAATATACTATAAGTGCTGTATTTAAACAACAGTGCTGTTTCATTATTTATTAGTCTCTCTTTCTGGCTCAGAATGATAATTTGTTTCAGATTGGTGTCTTTGGCAGACTTCAGGTTTGGATAGTACTGAAAACATTCTTTCTTGTTCCTAAAATGTTTCTTTCTCTAACGAAGGTTTGTAATAACAGGATCATTAGGAAGATGCTACTATTTACACAACTGTAAAGTGCATAGCAAATAGCACTAGCTCCAAACTCTTAATGCTTTATTCAGTGTCTGCTAGAGAAAATTGCTACACAAAATGCAAGGCAAAAGTAAATGAAGTCTCTTCTGAAATCCTGTCCTTAGCTGAAAAAGCCTGAAGGTTGTTGCCAGTTACAGTATCAGCCACTTGCTGTGGTCTTGGATTCACAGTGAATATATTGTCTCAGCTGGAGGGAAGCTATTGTTTCTCCATGCCCACAGAACATTCTTCTTGGGTGGAAGAAGAATCTTCTCTTTGTACTGCTTCAGGATGGGCTGTCCACCTTCCCAGCTGATCTAAATCTGTCCCTTGCTCATCACATAAGCTCCTGTCTTTTCCAAAAACTATATGTATATCTGTAAGCATCCAGAGTGGGAGTTTGCTAGCAAAAAAAATGGACAGGCATGATTATTAGCAGGTCACTGCTGCATTGGGCTGTGTCAGACCTGCACACTTTCCTTTGCTCTTCTTTCTTCAGTGGCATCTTCATGTCATCTGGGGTTTCTCATGCTTGTTGGTTTCCAGATTGTGGCTTTCAATTATGATGAAAAGACTGTTAACTTACACATCCCCTTGCTTTCCGGTGTGTTCATGTTTTCTTCTTTACTCCCCAACCTGCAATTATAGGGCTGGTTCTGATGCAGTTCAGTAGCGAAGATCAAAGCAGCCCAATGTTTACAGTTCATTGGATGCAACAACTGATTTTAAAGCCCCAGGATGTCAGTGTCCAGAGTCCCCAGGAATGACCTATAGATGGAGATCTCAGATGTGCCTGAAGCCATGAGCATGTGACAGCTGTGTGAGTGCTTGAGGGAAACTTCAAGCAGTTGATTCCCACAGCATCTTAGATTTTCTGTCAGGACAGACCAGAGTTTAGCAGTCACAAAGGTTACTTACCTGCATTCGAGGGGTTAATTACTCATGAAGCAGACAAGTTCAAGCTCTATTTGCTCCCTGACAGACTTGCAGTAAGCCAAACCAATGCAAAATATCCTTGCAGCAGCCATGTTTGTTCTCTTTGCAGAAGACACACGTACCTGTGCTGGCCTGACTGTGTAGATAAGCTTTACAAATAAGTACCTAACTTATTGACACATCTGTATTGGAAGAGCATTTATATAGCTTTGAAGTGCTCATTAACAGCTGCATATACAGAAGAAGAAAAAATGGAAGATGCACCACCTCTTCCACAACTTTGTAAACACACCCTGGGCACTTGTTTCCAAGCAGGCATTTCTGCCACTTCCATTATTTCACTTACAGCCTAGCTGTTTATTCACATAGTTGCTTTTCTCTAAGGTCTGTTATTATGTAGATAAATAATACATCTTGAATGGCTTGTTTTCTCTGTCAGTCAAAGGGCTCCTTAAGAATCAGAAGCCCACAGGACCTCAAATCCACATTAAGTTATCTCCTCTCAATTGTGTACTTCCACAATTGACTGAAATTACAGGACAGAAACAGAAGTCCTGAGGACAAACCCTTCCTGCCTCAGCTCAATTAGGCTTTCTTCATAGCAGCAGGAGTGTTATCCTATAGATGGACTTACCAAGAGGGTTTGGGTTTTTTGGTTTGGGTTTTTGTTTTTTTTTTTCTGCTTAGGCTGGCATGCAAATGTCAAAAGGAAATAGTCAGGAGAGAAGGGAGGAAGCAAGGCATAGTAACATTTTTATTTTTTATCCTAAAATTACATTCAGTGAATTTAGTACATTGAAAAATGCTGTCTTGGGCTGTTCAGAGGGTTGTCTAAAATTTCTGTCTCCACAAAAGAGATAGTAATGACAGTGCATTTCTTTTCTTGATTTTTAAAATGCAAATCAGGAGAAGAGGAAATATACATTAAATCTCACATATGTTTTCTCATTCTGTCCTTTGATACCATAGCATAAATCAAGAATGACTTCTTGAGGTCAATGAAATTAATTCAATACCAAATCAGTGTGATTCAGTACCAGTTTTATTTTTACGCAGTTTTTGGTTAACTTTTTATTGGAGTAAACATAATAGTTTAATCTTAATTTTTGAGTTTCTGTGGTAGGTTAATAGCTACAAGGACAGAGGCTACTGTGAAGATACCCTGTGCAGCATGACAGTGTTCCAGAAGCTCATGGTTAAAACCCTTCTAGGGCTCCATGGCAGGGTGCTTCAGGGAGGACAAAAGAAAAATAGTTTACAAATCAGCCACATTCAGTCAGACAGATGTCTTGATTTGGGAGCAACAAGATTTGAAATTAAACCCTGAAGTGTGACATATGAGAAGTCTGATATATCACTAGTGAAGAACCAGTTGGAGAGCGGTTGTTTTTCACCCTTATTGACCTCTGAAAATAATTGGTCCGTGCTGCGCTACAGTACAACACGGAGCCACAGATCCTGGGAGTCAAATATAAAGGACTGATTTAGAAGTTCTGCTGAGATTTGAAAGTGTAACTAAGAGCAATGTAAAAAGTGCTGTCATTGTGCTGCAAGAGCAATGTAAGGTTTGTCCTAGAAGCAGGAAGGAAGCAATCAGCACAGATTGAAACGGTGCATGCTTTCAACAGGGTGGTGCTAAGTAGCCTCTATCCAAACACAAACCAAAGCCAAAGGGAAGAAGCATAAGTAAGGCTGCAGGTACTCTGAACAGTGAACATAGAGCCAGAGGTGCTTTGGTTGATATTACAAATTGTATAGTAAAAGTGCAGAGAGAAGAGAGTGTGGTTGGACATCACAGCATCTGGCCCCAGCTCTGCTTCTCAGTTGCTTCAGGCAGAGGGCACGCTATTGCTGTACACAGTTTCAAATGGATTTGTCAGTGCGCTGCATTCTTAATTTTTGTGGCTTGTTTATGTCGTGGCTGAAAGTGAGGATGTCAGCATTTAACCAGATGAGACTGAGAAATTATGTGACTAGAAATATCCAGAACACTTGAGCGTGCCATAAGAGAATGTGACTGGAAGCAAGTTGGGACTTTATTTCTCCACATAATTTACCAGTAATTAATAATTCCAAATTTATGATTAGCTGTGTAACAAAAGGATGGACAGGTACCTGCAGAAGATTGCTGAAGTCCCTGATGAAACTCTAGTTCACTTAATTTGGCCCAGTTTGTTGTAAGGCAAGAATCTATTTGTCCCTCAGTAAGGCACGTGAAGTCCTATGTTCAGTGTGTTTCACTGGACTGAAAATCTGTTGTGCTCAAATTCCAGATAAAGCAATGTGTTTGGCTTTGTGCTTTGCATTAGGGGGTGGGATTGGCTTCTTAACTCCAACCTGGCCTAGGAGCTGGGAACTAAGTTAGTCTTTTTTCTGCTGTTTGATGTCATTGTTCATAAATGCCCTGCAAAACACAGCAAGTCTTGGTGACACTGGAGAGGTGCCATTTCTTTTTTAGTTCAGTTATAACTGAATTAACCTAAATGGCAATTTGGCATGTAGTGTGTGGAGTGGGATGGTACCCAGCCCATCAGGTGGTGTGCTGTATGTGCATGTTAGACAAGAGTAAAACCTGAAGCAGACAAGATCTCACTTGAATAGCCTAAGAAGAACAACTTTGCCAGCTACAAATTTTCTTAATGGCAGTAGAGTTGAGAGCTCAAGGCACCATCTTGAACTCACTTGTGGGAGGTATCTCAATGTAATTTCATGTAAGTCATCAGACTTAGATGAAGATTTTGCAGATGATAGTAGCTCATGTATGTTACTTAGCTTTTATTTTAAGACTTGGTGTTCCATATTTTGATGATGGTTCAGACATCCTAATCCTGTCAGGCATCTCAACATCCTTTTGCAGATATAACCATTTTTTTTGAGGACAAGAATATAATAAGTAATAACAAACAAGAACTTAGAATTGTAGCAGCATATATTGATGTTCCTGCACACCACAACGGCATTCATCACAGTATTAACTTTATACAGCAGGGTAAATTAAAACAGTAAGGGAAGCCATAATTAAGTGTCTTTTTATTGTGATCATGGAAACTTTGGAAAGAGCTAGAGAAATGTAGAAGCAAACATCTGACCATCTAGTTCTGTTGATTTCCAAGCTTTTGTTGATGTCAGGTGTCAGCAAAAGCACTTAGTCAGTGTGGTTCAATTTCCAGAACTTCTTACTGGTAGAACACACTTTGAGTGGTGAGAGCTGGGCTACAGTGCTTCAACAAAACCACAGTTTTAGTGGCAGAAACTGTAGGAGCATCAGCAATGTTAGTGGCTTCACTGCCAAATGGCCACAGTGTGGGCTGAAGGGTCTCCTTTACTCACAAGACCTTTTCTGGCTGGAGGAGATACTATAGGAATATGTTTGCATATAAGCTGTCAACAGCTGGATGGTGTTCTGAAAGGAAAACCCTTGACAACTAACCTCAACCTCTAACCAATTCTTCCTTTCTATTTTGCTTTGTTTCTCCTGCAGGGCTTGTGAAGTTGGGGGTTCACTGTGTCACATGTCAGAAGGTCGCGATAAAAATTGTCAACAGAGAGAAGCTCAGTGAGTCGGTGCTAATGAAGGTAATTTTCTAATGGAAGATTTAAAAAAAAGATTAAGTTCCTGGCTCCGTGTCTCCTGTTCCATGCAAAATTAATATCTTTAATTATGTATAACAAACATCCCTGTCAGTACTAGGATTATGCGGAGCATAATAACAATAATTTAGTTATGGGGGAGGCGAGGGCAGCTGTAATGAAATGGGAGAATGCCTGTGCTTTGTGCACAAAATAAATAGTCAGCTGCAGAGTTGGTGCTTCTCTGCTGGGGCCAGTGTATGTTGGGCACCTGACTTTCAGCACTACAACTGTGTCTTTGTGGTACATTGCAAGCTGAGGTGTACAAATGTCAGTATGGAGATTTAACAGGGCCTGGTGGATCTGTTACTCGCATAGTCCTACTGCTTGCTCTGCTGCATGGGTTCTCTATGATGACTGATGTGCCAAGGTCCATGACTGCTTAAAGCTGCTGTAATTCAGTTCACAATCCACAGAGCTGTGCCATTGGAAACCATCAAAGTGTCCTGATGTTCCCAGTGACTGTTAGTGTTCAGAAAGAGCTTAGTTTGTTTTTTACCTAGCCTTGTGATTCTCCTCACATGAATGTCATTGATTGATCTTGGAAACCTAAAAATAAAATAAATGTATGCATAGCAGTTTATTCATGTGATTTGGTGACTAGAGAGGCTAAATTCAGCTTGATGGGAAGGAACACAACTGCACTGCAATCAACAGAATTCCGTCACACTGTCACCTGCAAATTACGCTAACATGTTTGCGTGCAGTGTTGAGCACTTTATTGAGGTGACTTCCCTATATAAGCACAGAGCTTCTCTATATAAGCTCATCTTTACACTCCTGTTCTCCATATGGACTTCTGTGTCAGCTGTTTACCAGCACAAGTAAGTATAGCAACCTTACTCAGAGCAGAAAGAAAATGGAGTGTAAGCTAATATGCAGTCAGTGAGTGCTACACAAAAAAATATAAGTTTATATTTTTTTCAGACAAGGATTCTGAAAGTTTATACTCAATTGTAACATGGTCAGACTTTTACCTTTCTGGAATTTCATTGATGTATCCCCTCTCCTGCAGTACTGTGGATTCAAGCAGACTTCTAATGTAGACTAAAAGTTAGAAAGTGAAATAGGTAAGAGATCTGTATAAATGGTACAATCTGAGTGGGTCACTAAGCACCAAATATATTCTGAAGCAAAACAACAGGAATATTTTTTAAAAACTTGAGTATTTTATTTGGTGAAGAAAAACTGTCTGGTATTTATATAAAACACTTTATTTACCTCACTCATTTTCAGAGTAGGAGGCAGATCACTTAGCATGGCAAAGCGATCTCTCTGCTTTAGCTGTGTTACATTACCTCAGTTGTAGTATGAAATCTGAGTAGTGAAACGGTGTATTAGGACCTTGTTTACACAGCCACATGCTGGAGTGTGCCACGTTTTCTATAAGATTGTACAGCATCTTTCTCAGGAGGAAATTACATGTTGCATCGTGGTTCTCATTTTCAGACCCTTCTTTGTGGGATTTTCTCTTTCAAGGATTCTGTTCTCTGTGTTCAGGAGGTTGGAATAACAGATGGAATTGAAGTGGTTTGCCCAGTTCTTACATTAATTCAGTAACCAGATGTCTTTTCAGGAATGCCCTCTGCCTGATGGTCACAGACAGGCCATGAGACTTCAAAGTGAATTTAGAATACTGATAGCCAGTTTAATCCAGTCTGCCTGGAGGGGAAAAGTGCTTGCAGCTTTTGGCAATCCCAGGGTAACCACTGCGAAGCATCCAGCTTGCTGTGTGGAGCCAGCAACCACAGGGAGATAGCCAAAAGTGTGGCCAAGTCATTGTGGTGTGGTGGCATTCCTACTTTGCAAGTCTTCCCACAAGCTTATCAGTTCCAGTGACTTTCTTTGCCAGTGGGCTGTGCAGAGCAGCCCCCAGTGCCAAATGATTCAAGACCACAGCTACTCTTCCAAGCCAAGCCCAGATTGATAGATTTTGCTTTAATTCCTCCTTGGACAGAAAAGTTGGATCTGACAAACATGCACACCTGCCACATGAAGCTGTAACAGTGCAGTGCTATGGCCATTTATCCTAGAGCATAAGGAAAAAGTCTGCTCACGGTGCTTTCAACATCTAAAGTGACAGGCAGAAGCATATACAGCAGGCTGCTTTCTTTGTCATCATTATTCTGTTTTGACTTGCTTCTTGTAGCCTTCATTTCTCCAGTGTTTTTGCAGTGTTTTATTCTGTATATTCAGGGAACGGTCCCTTCTCTCTGCAGCTGCTCTTCATCTGAGCTGTGCAGAATTGAGAGGCATTTGGTAAAGTGCTTTCTAATCATAACGTTGTAGTATCGATATTTCTGGAGAGAAGAATTTGGAATTGTAGCAGCTGGTCTCAATTAGCAGAACTGCTGCTATGGAGATGGTACACGGGCAGGCACAATGCAGCACAGGCTGCAGTAAATGTATCATCCAGGCACTCACTGCCCTGTCAAGGGATGGGGCTGCTCAGTGCACACACAGCCTTTTGCTTTGTCATGCCCTGGTGCTAAATGCAGGCTGGGGAGCAGTGTTCCTTTTCCAGCACCAGCTTGGGCCTCTCTGTGTCTTTGGGGCAAAGCTACATATGTAATTTCACAGCTGAGGGAAAAGGGTAGGTTCTGTTCTCACTCCTGCCTTCCCTCTACTAGTAAAAGCTTCACTGGGTTTCTTCAGCAGAAATGCCACTGATGTGGAGACCTGTGTCCCACAGTACTTCTGGCTTGCTCTAGCACAAACTAGCAGGAAAGGTTTCAGAAAGCAGTGTGCTACAGGGAGTGTCTTAAGATTGAAATATGGTTCATTAATTTCCTTGAATTACATCTGGACCACTGACAGGGAAATTAGGCCCAGAGTTGTCTGTAAAGCAGTAAGGTTTCCTGAGCAGCCAGGTTCACTACTGATGGTTGCATTTTCAGTACCAATACAAGCATTTGGAGTTTATGACTTTAGAATATAAAGGTTAAAGCAAATATTTCCTCTGATATGGCAAAAGCTCATTTAGAAACACTGAGGTGTCTCATGGGATATACTCAGAAAAGTCCTTTCTCCTCTTTATTGTCTCACCAGTTGTCTTCCACTCCTGCCTTCCAAAGAATAAACAACAACAAAAAACCTACTTGTCGGTGATCCATCAGACAAATGATTGTTTGGACAGACAGTGGTAGCAGAAGCAATGGGAGCATAAAGGGTGAAGAATGAGAAGGGGACAGCTGGCCTTGGTCTAATTACTTGAACATGCAGGCATCCTCAGAAAGCCACAGATGTCCCAGGCCTGATGACTTGAGCCCAGAGCTCCATATGTGAGCTTTGTGACAGTGTGCCTTTTGTTTTTTCCAGTGACCTCCAGTGCTGGCCCTGAAGCAAGGCAGGTATTTCTAGAGCAGGGGATGGGGGAAAAAAGCAGTCCCACTGCTGTGGAGCTCACTTGTATCACAGGTGGTGAGTTTTGGGGAGGCTGTCGGTTTGGTGTCTTGCAGGCTAATGAGCTCTGCTTCCAAAAAATTCTGCACACAATTCTCTGTGTTCTTAACCACAGAAGGTCTTGCAGCAATCACTATTGGAGATCCCTGATTGCCTGGAATAATTGAGTGGAAGGATAGGTAGGAGAATCGAGTGTCACTTCCTCTTGGAGCTGACAGGATAACTTGCAGAAGCATGCTTGTAAATAACTGCTGCTTTGCATGGTCTGTTCATCATCTCTTCCTTCTTCCTGAACTTCTACTTCAATAAGTGTTTATCCCTCTGCTACCTCATCCTACTTTAGAGTCTTTCCTTCCTTCTCTATTTTCTTTCAGTTGTTCTTTTGTCTCTTTTTAAGCTATTCATTCTTCATACCCTTCCATTCTGTGACTTATTCCTTTTTTTCTTTTTCCCCTCTTTTGCTTCAGAAAGTCATGTAAGAGCTGTCATTGTTGCAAAAACTACTAAAATGCAGCATGTCTGGTTAAGACGGCTGTTCTTCAAGGAAAAAAGTTTAGAAATTGGGCACAATTTAGAAAGTACCTGAGACAGTAAGAAAACAATCAGAGGTTGTGTTTTATATAACATGGGGGGACTTAGCTTATTAAAGAGAAGGCTAAGACATAGCTCAATTGTAGTCTGTAAATACTGATAAAGAGGATGGGCATGTGATAACAGAGGATATTACAGTCTTGGAATTGGAAACTAATAGTTGTAAGCTGTAGGTAGAAATACAATAGCAATTACATATGGAAATGCTAGGCCTGTTTGACCACTGGATGAAGTTACTAATTGGAACAAGCCACCCAAAGCTCTAGTGAGTTTTTCTCCTGAAAGACAATTAAACTTCATCTTGCACTGCAGTGTTTTTTTTCCTAAAAACCAAGATCCTAGTTCAACTTCAGATGCTGGACTTGAAGCAGGAAGTAGTTGGTTTCATGATCTGTGCTATCTATGCATTAGTTCTGATTAGATCAATGCAACAGCCTCTCTGGCCTGAGGATCCAGGGAGCTGGGAATTTCAATCACACACTTGAAATCTGTGACAAGTCCCATATTTCTGTCTGGGGCATAGAGAGATGCACTTGTGCAAGTTTTCTGTAGAAGCAGAAATTTAGTCTCCCCCAAGTGAATTTAGGGAAGGCAATACTTGAGAGCAGTAGCTTGTACTTTGAGTATGTTATTTTCAGACTTTTAAAAGAATAGACTGTGATATTGGGTGACCTAGCTGTCCTCAACTGCTGACTGCAGGCTGGACTACAGAAATCATTACCAGAATATCACAACAGCATCAGGGAGAAGTTAAATCTGAGGCAGAAGCAGACTGAAGTTGGTTCAAGTTCAGGTTTGATCACGACATGGGTAGTTTCCCTGAGACTAACAAAACCAAACTCACCAACACCAAACCTCAATTCCACCAAATCAATATTTTTTCTGATGTGTTCAATAGTGGCCTAATTGTTTCCCAGTTTCAGTATTTAGGAGTTTTGCTATTGATTGCAGTG